AGCAGACAACATATATATCTTTCATAAGATGCTGTTTCCAGATACCTGTGTCTTGTAATTCTGTCTTTGTAAATTCCCATTAAAAATATATAAGGTATTTTTATTGCTACATATAAAGCATTTGTATTCACACATGTAATCCAGCCTGAAGGGTTTTCATTAAACATCCTGCAGTAGACAGATTTTTAATGTTGGTTGTAACTGTGATATAATTATTTACATACTGCTATTTGACAGCGCTCCAGGAATTAAGGTTTAAATCCTATAACAAATTAAATTATACAACATCCCTGTTGCTTCCTTACAGCCTCCTCCCAATTACAATTTACAAATGAAATACAAAAGTATGTACAGTAACTCCTGTTAAAATAACACATCTTTTAACCATATAAAATTTTGTAGCAAGAGTCGTAAGCTTTCACAAGCAAAAATAACCATGTTTAAAATGCACTCTGAAACAATACATTCACATATTCTATTTAAAGAAAATGTGCCTGGGAAAATCAGAAGTATGTTAGGCAAATATCTTTATTGATAGACATAAATAATAATGTAAAACTTGTGAGTCTCTACAACTTTGCAGCTTGTTCAAGGACAATGTGGGACATGGGTCTCATGGCAAGCAAAGTACTCATGATTTCTTTACCACTTTTATTTTGGATTTGGCAAAAAGCTTATGAAATAAAAGTAAAGTTCAAAGCAAGAGAACACAACTCCATTCTTAAACTCAAACATAGTTTAGAGGCATGACCCTGATGTTCTACTTGCAAGCCACCCATAGTTTAGAGGCATGACCCTGCTGTTCTACTTGCAAGCCACCCAATGCACAAAAAGCTATTTCTAAGTCTATACTTCGAAGCAAATCATGACGCTATTAATACTGAGCAGATTTTTGTAGGATATACATAAATCTTAGGGCCCAATTCATATAATTTAAGAAAACTATTTTAATAGAACTTAGTCTTTAGTAACAGGTACAGGTCAGAGGAGAGGTATACTAAGCATTCAAAACAAAATTAAATGAGTTTTCTGTGTATGTATCACTTTTTTTTAAAGACAACACTTTTGGGAAATGCAACTAATCTAGAAAAAGTATTAAGTCCAGCTTGTGACAGACTAAAAAAAATTCTAAGTTACTTATTTCTGCTGTAAAAAAGTATGGCATACAAAATACACTATTAAACAAGAATATCACTGAGAACAACTACATCTTGTTTGATAGAGAACCACAGATATGCAGTTCTAATGGTTACTCCTTCTCTTAAACACTGAACATTCTATAGGACAAACATCTTCCAAGAGCTAATGGAATGACACATCTTAAAGCACGAATGGAAGTTTTTAATCTATTAAAATGTAACATGCTCAGAAGGGAGCATGTTACATTTTAGTAGATTTACAATCTTGGCACTCTCTTTCCATGAAGATGCTATATAATTTAACATTTGCTAAGAAGTTAGTAATTCAACTAAATGTGTATCACACAAACAATAGGGGACTGTCTATCAGAAGCACACTTTAAATACTGTAATAAAAACATCACATCACAAGGAAGGAAGGAAGAAAGAAAGGAAGGAAAGAAGGAAGGAAGGAAGGATTTTCTAAACTTGTGTACCAATTATTCAGTCAATTTTTAGAAGCAAAACAACACATATCAAGTGATAGGATGGCCACACTGCTAGGCATTGCACAGAATATTGGAAGTAGTCACCTATTCCTTTTTATGTTACATTACTATAGTTACAACACTAAATTCTACTCATGCCAGAGTCCTATAAAATTTTCTAGAAAATGAAGGAATAACAAGTTGACATGGATCACAAACATTTCATATGAGGTGACTATTGGAAGGAAAGCAGAAGCAAAGGAATTTGAATCTAGGAATATCTAGAAATGTTCCTTTTCATCTTGTGACTTTTGTGTAACAAGGATTCTCCTTTTTAAAGGGTCTTTTCCTAAAATAGAGTAGGAAAATTATCTGCAACAATGAGAATGGGAAGCTAAAAAGGAGCTACACTTTTCTAGGCTATATTTAAAGAACAAGGATACTTCAAACGGTGCCTTTCTGTGAACAATGAATAGAAAGCAAAAACTGAATGTCCTCACCACTGCTACAGTTCCAAATGTGCATCTTTTTCCTAGCCAAACTGCTATTTAAAACTCAAGTTCTTGCTCTATTAAATTGCATGTCTCATTACAATTCCTACTTTTTCCAGGGGATGTTCTTTTCCACCTTCCTCTCTACCTCTCCTTTTAAAAACTCAAGCTCAAGCAATTTTTGCTAGCCATTTTTCTAAGTCATTAATGTCAGAACTACCCTCCTCTCCTTTGTTTCCTCTGGCACTACACTCAATAAATTCGACTTTCATGGGCATCTGAGAGAAGTCAAACTCCTTTCCCTTCTTCCCAAGCTGAATGACAGATCCCGAGCTTGAACTATCCATGGTACTTGGGGCAGCAGAGAGAGTCACTCGTAAGGTATTGCTGTAAAAAAAGGAGAAAAGGTTTAGACGAAGAGAATGGATCTGCATAAAATAAAATATTGGCATTGTTGACAGGCTGCACAATCTTTAGAGAGAAATATGTATGAAACTAGCTAATATGGGTAGGATCACAACTTCTCCAGGACCAAACTATTATCTTTTATTGTTTTTTTTCCCTTCAAAACAACTTTTACTTCAATTTTTGTATTTATTATTTTCATGTTTTGTTGGCTATACTGTTTTTAAGACTGCTTCCTTGTAAGTCATTCTGAGCTGCCCAAGAAAAAGCATGGCACAGAAATAAATAAATCAGATGAATGATCCAAGTTTGGAAAAATGACCTAACTATTAGATCATAGATATTTGTAGCCAAAACACACAGAAATCTGGCAATAGCCAATCATAATTAAATTAAATGTAAGTTTCAATAATTGGTCAAGAGTTTTAATTCTTTAAATGTGCTTTAGGACAGGAAAAGTGGAGAAAAGGAGAATAAAATTATATTTTCCTCTCAGCAACATCTTTGCAACATGTTGTCAGTTCAGGTGATTATCACAAATAAGATTATAATGATTCAAGGGTTAGCTTTAATGGGTAACTTAAAGTTCAACAAAGGAAAACACTTTTTTGTGCTACATCTCAGAAATTTAATTTGAAAACACAAAACAAATTATGGCAATACTTTTAAGTGTTCCTTATTTTAATGGATGGAAGAGACTCAGGTATATGTGTGAGAAAACAAAGTAACCACTGCTATTTGACAATGTGAACTATATAGTATAAATAAAACTATAATTTTCCGTTCAGGTTATAAAAGAAATACAATTTTGTAAAATTGGATATTTTAGCGACTAAATATAGGAACTCAGTCACACCCTCTCAGGAAGGAGACAATGGCAAACCACTTCCAAAATCTTGTCAAGAAAACTGTGGGGACTCGTTCAGGAGGTCTCCAGGAGTCAACAAAAAATCAGTGGTGAGGGAGGGAGGGAGGACCCCAACTGAGATACTAAATCAAGAATCATTTGAATAATTTTTGAAAGCAATGTTTAAAAAATATGCTCCATCTATAGACTTGATTAAATTAATATGTATGTTGCTATTTAAAACTCTAGCTGATCTCATGCATCAGAACAGTTTGGAAATTCTACAGGCAAAATTGGTTTTATTTTTCATTGCTCAATGTTACTTTCCACTGTGCCTTAACAACAACATGAAAACAATTTTAAAAATTCATCACTACTGGGCAGTAACCTTGCACCTAAAGAAAAGTGCATGAAGGTGACCCCTGATAAGCTGATCCTTTGAACTTACAGCTCTCTTTCCAGTTGCTGCTGTATGAGCTTAGAAGATTTTGCCATTGTAACATCTATGGAAGGGAATAAGGAAAAAAAACATATTAATACTGTGCTATAGATAACAATGGCTTGATACATTTGAAGGAACTTTCTAAAAGTTAATGACACTGCTAGGCCTCTGAACTCTAGGGGATGCATTCCAAAGAAACTGGAAGGTATTTAGAGAAGGCTTAATCTGAGTTGTCATCAGACAAGCTCACCAAGGCAAATCTAATTGCATGAAATGAGGAAAGTCACACAATTATATCCAGACACAGTCATCACTCAGTTCTTAAAAAAGGGCAGTTACTAAACCCTGAATTCACCCCTGCAACACAGTGGTTTAGTACCAGGTTGTTGATATCCATCCAGATGTATAAATAATAGCTATATTTGTATCTGGCCAATTGGCTGAGTTCATAAACCGCCATTAAAATAAACCATGATTTCCCATCATAATCCAAATTTCAGAAATAGATAATAGCTGTAAATTAGTTTACCAGGATTGACAGAAACCAGTTTCCAAATGTGCACTTATTCTATACCTTATGAAAGGCATGGCAAAATACTAATCAGCAGAAACATTTTAAATTATATCTAAAATGAAGGCCATCTTATTTCAGAGATGACAGGCATTACCTTGTTTGTTGCAGGCTATTAAGAGGGGAGGTGCATTTTTCAGAATTGTGTTGTCAGTCAGGAGCTGGTACAGAAATTCTGCCACATCTTTCATCTCCCGTTGGAAAGCTACACTATCCACAACAAACACAATTGCCCTATACAAAAAAAAATGCAGTGCGGTGATATTAACTTATGTTATCCTTCAAGTGGTATATCAGCAAAACAAACCCTCCCCCCCCCCACACACACACAATACAAGACTGCTTGTAATCAGCACTTTTTCCTTCTAAGAATAAGTTTTGATACTGTCAAAATTTGGTATCTTAATGTGAATTGTTTTGTTTTGACATTCTCCTCTTCTCCAATTAGCAAGACAAAAAAGTTTAGGAAAAGAGGGAGAGATGAACAAAATCCAACAAATGAGATGCACATATTTCATCAGATCCTTCTATTTATTTGCAGCAATCCGATAAGTCTATACATCGGTAATGTCTTGAAAATACTAATAGAGCCATTCTTTTGAAACTTACCTAGCTGCAGCCTTGAACCTATCCAGGAACTGAAGCCGCAAGCTCTCATGGCCAGGAAGGTCAATTAAAGTCACATTCCTATTCTACAGGAGAAGCAATAAATAATTTATCATGGAGCAATTTTAGGCAGTATTTTGCTTAGGCTTATGTATTTTTATTGCTTTCTACCATTATTTGAGTTTATTTCAAATGAATAACAATCCTTTCATACATGTATACCTATATACCACAATATGTAATATTTCCATCCTTACCTTGTCATTTTTTACTCTGTACAAGGCAGAACTATCAGTTATGGAAGTCTGAGTATTTCGGAAATTTTCTGTTAAGAGCTATGGAAATCAAAAGAAAGGAGACAAAATTAAATATTCTCAGTAAAATTACCGATCTAATGCTTTCAAAAGCTTCAAAAGCAAGAAGAAGTTAAAAGTGTTTAACTTTAATCTTCCAATAACATGGAAAAAAATCACAGCAAAATATTAGTCTAAAAGATAGTCTAAAAGAATTATGAAAGAAACTTCCATACCCTAACAAATAGAAGAGTTTTTCCTGAGTCACACAGACCAGCCAGAAGCACTGCTGTCCGACTGCTCTTTCTTGCTTGGAAAATTTTCCAAATTACTGAAAAAGACAAACAATCCACTGATTAACTAAGCTATATGAATAAATATTGCTATCCATGAAAATATTTTGATTCATGCAATGTCTAAAACTAAAGCTACTTCAACGTATATACACAGAGTATAAGTTGTCATTTTTAAGTAATGTGCGATTTCTTTTCAAACTTATAACTTTTCTCTGTGTTATAAACAGTTGATTTGACAGAATAACCAGGCAATTCACAACATTTATTTCCTGTAAAATTCACTTTTTTCCACTTTCTATATACTAGCCAGATTAGAAACATAAGAACACCAAATCAGAAATACATGCATATCAAACAAGTATATTTATTTAAAAACAAGTCTTAGTCATTTATCTTTTATAAATATAAGCCCCAGGGAGGTTTACAAAAGTCTATACTGAATAATGATTTCATTCAAAACAAAGATAAGAATATTTTTAAGATATATATTACTGCAGATATACAGTAATGCTTAAAAGTTTGTGAGTTCTTTTGAATATTCAAAGTTTCTGCATAAATGTGATCTAAAATGTTATGTGTTCTCCATACATCCTAAAACTAGATAAAGTGAACACAATTAACCAAATTAATAGAAAACATTATACTTGTTCATTTATTTGAGGAAAATGACCCAGAGCTAAAATGTGGCTAAAATATGTAAACCTCGAGTCTAGAATTATTAATTCATTTGAAGGGAAAATTAGAGCCAGGTGTTTCAATCAATGTAAAGTGCAAGTATGGGACGTCCTGCTTTATTTAAAAAAAACAGAATTCTGGGTATTCACTATCAATATCTGATCTTCTCAACATAGGAACATGGAGGTGTGTTGTAGCTTGAATAAAGGACTTTTCTAAGGTCCTCCAAAAAACAGTTGTTGCTGCTCACTGGTCTTCAAAACATTTCAAAACTATAACCAAAGAATTCTGATCCCACCAGTTCACTGTCAGGCAGATAGTGTACAAATGAAAGCAATTGAACACTATTATTGCCCTCCCCTGGAATGGTCAACCAACCAGATCACATCAAAAGCAATATGTGTAATGCTCTGGGAGGTCTTAAAGAACGCCAGGATAACATCTAAAGAACTAAAGCCTTTCTTGTATTGATGAATGTCACTTTTTATGAGAATATTGAACAGCAGTGATGTGTATGACAGGGCTGCAAGGAGACCTACTCTCAAAAAAGAACACTACTGCCCATCCGCAATTTGCAAAAGACCAGATGGGTCAGTTGGAAAGATATTGAAAGCATGTTCTATGAATGGATGAGTCCAAATTAAAACTTTCTGGCTTGACTGAAAAGCATTAGTTCAACAAAATGCAAACACTGCATTCCTGTATAAGAACCTTATTCTGTGAAACAGGGTGGTGGCAGCATCATGGTTTGGACTACTTTGCTGCCCATAGACCAGGACAGATTGTCATCATTGATGGAGGTATGAATTCTGAATAGTATGAACATATTCTACAGCAAAATGTCAGGGTATCTGTTCTTGAACTGAAGTTGAAGATAAAATGCTTGTGCAGAGTTAGGGTTAAGATTAGGAATGCGGGAAGACACCAACCCCAAACACAACTCAAATTACCAAAGAATGGTTAAAGCAAAGAAAATTAAATATTCTGGAATGACCAAGTCAAAGTCCTGATCTTCATCCTATAGAAATATTGTGGAAGTGGGAAGTTCATGCAAGAAGGTCCATCATCATCCCTGCGTTGAAGCTGTTCTGTTAAGAAGGAATGAGCTAAAATTCCTCCAAATCAGTGTGCAGGACTGCTCAACATTTCGTTGCAGTTATTGACACCCAAAAGACTGTTAAGGTTCATATATGGCATACTTTTGCCACACAAAGATATGTAGCTTTGGATCATTTTCCTCAATAAATAAATAAATACAAATATGTTTTTGACTCATTTAACAGGATTTTCTTTATCTAGTTTCTAGTGGAGAACAGATCACAGTTTAGATCATGCCTATGTAGAAATAGTGAACATTCAAAAAGATTACAAACTTTTAAATACCACTGTAGTAGGATACCAGTTCATTTAAAATATTAAACTCAATGATAAATATACTACTTTGCCAGAATTACAAATTACAATTATCTTGTCAGAAATCACAAGCCTTTTGTCAATTAAATTTGCCTACTTCTCACTTTCTAAATTTGCCTAAAAGCTCTCTTTCTCCTGCATTTTCATTACTAAATACTATAAAATCCTCACAACAAAGTCCAAAGCAATTTTCACCAGCCTGTTGCTAGATGTGTTGTATCACAATACTTATTTTCCCAGCCACTTTATCTTGACAGCAGAAGACTGTTTGGAGTCAATTGCCAGAATAGAAAAACAACAGAAAAAATAAGATTGACAAGGAATACAGCTTTTGCAAAAAAAAAAAAAAAAATCCCCCAAATCAGACCATTAATTGCAGTCTTCAGTTAAAAGAAGAAAGAAAATACAGAAGTTCAAATTTAATACATTTGGAAGCAATCTACTACTTCTCCTTCCAGACATTCCCCAAACACGGCAAGATGTTTCTCTACAATCTAGGGGTATTTCTTAATATACCCAGTTTTTCCTCTTCATCTCTACGGCAAGACCCACTGATGAACCTCACAAAAGCCCCACTGCCACCTATCTTCAAATCATCATGCTGTGTACGCCAGTCTTGCAATTGTGCTATAAAGCAGTGTTTCTCAACCTTGACAATTTTAAGGCATGTGGACTTCAACTCCCAGAATTCCACAGCCAGCATTGCTGGCTGTGGAATTCTGGGAGTTGAAGTCCACATGCCTTAAAATTGTCAAGGTTGAGAAACACTGCTATAAAGGGACAGAGCGATGAAACGCTCCGGCTCACTTTCCATTCCCCCGCTTTCTGCGCCGCTCCAAAGCAACTGCCGAGCAGGGCCAGAGGGCTGCACAGGGCGCGCTGAAACTCACCCAGAACTAAGACGACGAACACGGCCACCGCCACCGAGATCAAAAGCCGGACCTGCGCCAAGTCCTGTGCCGGCAGGGGCGCATCTTGGGGAGGGGGAAACCCCTCGCGCTGGGGCGTCACTTTCACCCCGTTCATGCTGAGCCGCTCACCACGCGTGACAGCTTAATACGTATCATGTAGCGACGTTTCCTGCTCTGCAAGCGTCATCTTCCGGTTTCTACAGCAGGTGGCTGACTCGTCTTCACGTAAGGAAGGAAAAAAAGAGATATAATTACATTGGACTACAGCTCCCAGAATTCCTAGCGAAGAAACTTAGCGATACCCACGTGACGAAGGTGGTTCTAAATCTGAAGCATCAATTTCTGGTAGGGAAAAAAAAAAAAGCATCAGAATTTTGTAACATTATACCCAAAACCAGATCCTGCGAATCCCCTGGACTGCAAGGCGATCAAACCGGTCAGTCCTAGAGGAGATCAACCCTGACTGCTCTTTAGAAGGCCAGATCCTGAAGTTGAAACTCAAGTACTTTGGCCACCTAATGAGAAGGAAGGACTCACTGGAGAAGAGCCTAATGCTGGGAAAGATTGAGGGCAATAGAAGAAGGGGACGACAGAGAATGGGGTGGCTGGATGGAGTCACTGAAGCAGTAGGCATGAGCTTAAATCAGGGGTGTCAAACTCGTGATGTCATGTGATGTCGTGCAATGTATCGGGCTGGTTTTGCCATTGCTGGCAATGGGTTGGGTGCGGCTTCAGTATGATGAAACCGGCCCGCGGGCTGGCAGTTTAACACCCCTGGCTTAAATGGACTCCAGAAGATGGTAGAGGAAAGGAAGGCCTGGAGGAACGTTGTCCATGGGGTTGCGATGGGTCGGACATGGCTTCGCAGCTAAGGACAACAACCAGATTTAAACATTCGAAGATGACTTTCTTAGTCCATTTCATTTGACATAGAGAGTATTGGCAGATGTATAAAAGCTATAGAAGATGAAATAGGGAGCCTTTAAAAAAGCTGTGTTACTGCAATTGATCAATGTCCACGCAATGATGATCTTGATCGTGACTCTTGAAAAACCGGGATGAGAATAATATTTCTGCTCCGTCAGTCATCTTGTGCTCCAATGACAGAAGCTGACAGAATTGGTTATTAGATTTTGTTTCAACCACAATAATGGGAGAGAGTTTTTAATAAATTCAGAACAAACTGTGTGGTGTAAATCCCATATTATATTGCTACTTCTGTAATGGCAGCATGTCTATTGAACCTTAATTGAGTAATAATTTTATTTAAATAATCAAAGTGCTCTGAAGTGGTGACTTTGGGGTTCTTTAGAGCTCTTTATCTAGTTTGATACTTTTTTAAAAAATGGTGAGGGGGAAAACATGACAATATTTATCTAAAATGTATTGACTACAGTGTTTTTCCAATATGCCATAACCTATGCAATATGCAAATATTAAAGGTAGAGTACTAATCTTACATGTTCTTTAATTTTTTTATATACAGCTTAATGAAGAAATCTGAGGAAATCCCAAAGCTTATTCAGGGTTTTATGACATCTAAACTCTTAATAAAACATTTCCCATTTCTGGATTTTCTTGGGTGAAAGCGGTTCCTGTTTAACATGCAAACAAATTTAGATTCTAATCTGAGTTTGACTTCCAAGGAAGTGGATAGGGTTCTCTATGCCAGGGCTTTCCAACCTTTTCACCCATTGTACCACTTTTAGGATATGGCAATATCCGAGTACCACCAGTTGCCTAGCAAGGTGTCAAAAACTTGATGACCCCCCCAAAAGGAAAAAAGTGATAAAGTACAGGTAGTCCTTGACTTACAACAGTTCGCTTAGTGACTGTTTGAAGTTACCATGGCACTGAAAAAAGTGCCCCCCAAGCCACAGCTGAGCAAGACACCTGCCTGCCCACCCAGTGGCACTCTTCCTCCTGTCTGAGGTTTTCATTGTTCTGAGCATTTCTGTTGAGGATTGGCATTGGGGGTGGGGTGGGTGTTTGGCTTTTATTACTCCTCCCCGTCTGCTGGGTGGCTGCAGCAGGTTTTGGTCACTTCACATGACCCTGGGACACTGTGACCTGGAGAGGCTGCAACATTCCAACTGATCGGCACTTCTGGGCTCAGCAGAAGCACCAGGATCAGCGCCGAGCTCCAGCTGGAGCCTGGCGCTGATCCTGGCACTTCCACTGAGCCCTGACAGCCCCGAAGAAGTGCTGATCCTGGCGCTTCCGCTGAACCCTGACAGCCCTGCAGCTCCAGCCATCTCTCGCTCAGGTTTGTGCAGTGCTGCCACCGGTTCAGCTCATTCCCCTCCCCTGCTACCACTTTTCTAGGATGGTCGCGTACCACCTGCCTGGTGCCAATGTACCACAGGTGGTACCCGTACCACTGGTTGAAAAGCCCTGCTCTATGCTGTCAGCTTTTCAACCTGTTTATGGGATCAGGGCTTCTCCTGGATTGTAAAAGTGGCCAGGGAGGCAGTTTGCTGTTGGGGGCCAGTAATAGTGTTGACCTCACCGAAGGAGGAAGTGGTACCGTTGGCCGGGCATAGCCTTGAAATCAAATGTCAGTTTTTTTAGCATCTCCAAGTTATTTCTTCCTCAGCAGCTTTTTGAAAAAGTGCCAATGCAAGTTAAACAAGCTCTGCTCTTCGACCTTAATTATCTGAATAGTACCATGGGCTGACTTTCACTAATGCTTGAAATTGACAAGACCTAAATTAGCTACATACTGATGGCTTTTGCCTTCTAACTGCCTTGCAGAGCAGGCTAGGCAAACAGCCAGGACTACCAATGTGTATCTGTTTACTCATAATCTGTTCCTCTCTAATGAAAGTAAATATTGTGTGAGTGTGTCACCCATCCACCCCATTTCCCTCCTTTCCAATTGTCCTTATTCTCTTTTGCCTGTTCAGATATCTGGTAACGTTCGGTGCACCCCCTCCTCAAAAAGCTGTCCTTAAATCCAATAGTTTTCAACAATTACCAACCAGTTTCCAATTATCCCTTTTTGGGAAAGTTTGTTGAGCCGATAAGTCAGTTTGCAGCTAATGAGAACCCTGGAGGAAAGGGACTATCTAGACCAGGGGTAGTCAACCTTGGCTCTTTTATGACTCGTGGACTTCAACTCCCAGAATTCCTGAGCCAGCTAAGCTAAGCTGGCTCAGGAATTCTGGGAATTGAAGTCCACGAGTCATGAAAGAGCCAAGGTTGACTACCCCTGATCTAGACCCATTTCAGTCAGGTTTTAGCCTGGGATTTAGTACTGAGACAGCCTTGGTCACATTTGTCAGTGACCTGTGGTAGAGCTAGGATGGTAATGGCACATCCATCCTTGTGCTCATTGATCACACAGCAACTTTCGATACCATTGACCACAGTATCCATCTGGGCCAGCTCCATAGGTTGCAAATTGGGGTGCTGTTTTACAATTCTCTCTTTTTTTCCAGAACCAGTCTAGTCAGTGTTGGTTGAGATAGAGAGATCACTCCTTAGGCCCCTCCTGTGGGTACCAAAGGGTTTTTCTCTCTCCTGCCTCCTTGTCAACATCTACATGAAGCTTCTGGGTGAAGTCATCTTCCAGTTTGGGATTCAATGTAATTAGTATGCTTATGATACTCAATTATATTTTTCATTCAAAGTTGATATGCAGTTGGAATGAAGTCGTTTTGAACTTGCAGTTCCTGCTTGTAGAACAGGTGTTCGGCTATGGCCAGAAAGGCCTTTACACAACTCCATTTAGTGCCCCAGTTGCACCTTTTCCGAAACTAAACAGACCTTTACACAATAATTTATGTCCTAGTTACTTTGCAGCTTGACTACTGCAATGTGCTCTACATAGAGCTGCTCTTGAAGACTACCCAGAAGCTTCAACTGGTCCTGAATGCTGTGGCATAAATAGTGATGGGCATGCCCTGGTA